TTTATGAATTTTTAATTATATAATATTATATAATATTATATAATATTGATACATATTGATATATATTTGATAACGAATGTTTGATATTATATTGTTTTTCAATAGAATATTTAAAAATTTTTTATTTGTTGTTTTTATTTTTTCAGTTTTTTTTTTAAATCCTCGTTTCAAATCATATTATATATCAGATATATTACGTTTTATAAGATCATTATCCTATAGATCTATCTATATTTTATATTATCTATTTTTTAATTTGTATTTTATCTGTGATCACAATCACGTATCAATATATATATAAATATAAATAAATAAATTGGAAATATAAATAAAAAGCAAATATTAAAAAGAAACATAAAAATGTGGAAATTATGCCATATTCAGAATATTGCAAAATTATAAAATTAATATAAATAAAAAAAATAAAAACAAATAATAAATAAATAAAACAAATAATAAAAGAAAGATAAGATTTAATCATCAATGTCATTTCTTAAATGAAGAAGACATCTATTTTCAAAGCAATAGAATAAAAATCGTGGATCATTGTCATCTTTTGAATTTTTTTAGAAATATATCTTTGACATTCAATAGATGGCGTTGATGGTTAATTTTTCAAATTTTTTAAAATTTTTACTTATTCTATTTGTATCCTTTTCATTACATTTCTGAATCTTCTAGAATTAAAAAAATCGTCGACGAAACATTCAGTTTAAAAATATAAAATATGATTTTCATAATAATGATTTTCATAATAAAAAATATGATTTTTATGAAAAGTAAATATTTCAAATAAATATATAAAATTTCAAGAAATTCTTGTTTTTGTAGATAGTAAAAAAATATGCCATCCTCAAATCATGTTCTCCTAACGCAAGATTGAAAATTTTTATTTTGGAATAATCGAAAAAATTTCGCATGCCATTTTTCATCGAATTATATTCTCCTAATATAAAATGTAAATTTTGGTTTTGTATCACGTTTTATATATTATTTCTCTATTTATCTATATTGAATTATTAATTTATATTACATTCTCTAACAAAATTATTGACTTATATTTTACTTATACCTATTTCTTTGATCTAATTATTAATATATGTTATTTATTTGATAAAATAATTGATTTACACTACTTTTTTAAATAAATGAATTAATTTATACTAGTTGTCAAACATTGATTAATAAAATATAATTTATTTATTTATTTTTTACTTTTTAAATATTTATTTCTTTATATTATCATATTTTCAGAAATGATTTTTATCGTCATTTTATTTAATTTTAATTAATTTAATAATTTTAATAAATTTAATTAACATATTTATTCTCTAATTTTATACTTATCTTACATATGTTTATGTTTTTAAGCAGATTGAAACTGTAAGAAAAAAATGTATAAAAATATATATATATCATGATTATAGTATAATAAATGATCATAGTATATATAACATAAAAAAATATAAAAATAAATGTAAAATAAAAATACAACATATAATGTATACAACATATAGAAAAACTAATTTATATATAAAACATATCTAAAAATATACTTCTTATGATTTAGAAATGATGAACAATATAATCATAATGATTAAATGAAATATATTTTAAATAAAAAAATTTTATTTTTCTTATTTTATGAAAACTAAATAATTTATTCAATCAGATCATATTATTGAATAATTTTTAAGAGAGATATTAATACAGAAAAGTCTATTATCCACTTCACTAATGACATGAGTACACTCGTCTTACTACTAATGTATTACTCTTAGTAGAAATACTAATACTATTACTACTCTATAGCTATTTTATGTAAAGTAGTGATGGATTTAACCTAATAATTTCTATAATAATTTTCTAGAAATTTAATTTTTATAAATATTTTCAATATTATTTATTATCTATAAAAACTAAAAATAAAAATTTAGTATATTTTTTAAATAATGAATAGTTATTTATTAGTATTAAATATTATTTATGAGTTCAAAACTCATAAATAATAACATTACTATCAGTATTTAGTAAAAAACCTGCACAAAAGTGTGTCGATATATATGTGTATTCATGCTTTGTATTATGTCTTCAATGTGTTTAGAGCATTCTTATATGACTATGAAAGGAGAAATGCATATATATGATGAGAACGGCACCAATACATGAATATATTCTATTGCTATTCAAGATGGAGAGAAAACAACGTATGTTTTCTGTAAGGTGGTTGTAAACAAGAAAATCGGAAAGAAATATCTATTTGTTAAATAATAATTAATTGATGAGAAATGGCAAAATCTGTATTGAGTTCTGACACATTGCCAAAAGCAGGTCGGGTAAATGAAGGTAATTCTTTTTTTTGAATCAATCCTGTCATTCTCTATTAAAATAACTCATTTAATTAATCCTAATAATCGTTTGTTTAAAAATGTTGCAGTGTGTCGTGAATGGCTGGTGCATGAAGATGGAGCTCTCGCATATCGTTTACAGGATGAAGAAAGTAAGATTAGATCATTTATAAAATATTACTGATTTTATTCTAGTATTATGTTTATGTTTTATAGTTAGAGAACATTACTCTAGCAACAAAATGCGTAATGCACAAGTCAGAGAGGATTTACCAAGAGCTAAAGTTGAACAAGAATTGGAAACTCTCAAATATCAATCTTACATTCAACAGCAGTTAGTATTTATATTTTCAATATAATTTATTAAATATTTATTATTTTGCATTTAAATATTTTTATTTTTAGAGAAGAAAGAGATGCACTTGTTGCAAAACAGATTGCATTATCTTTAGAACGTGAAGAAAGACAACGAGAACGAGAATTACAAGAACAAATGAGACTGCAATTGAGGTTGGATGACGAAGCTGCACAGCTTGAAATTGAACGACATATTCAAGAAGAGAAAGATGAGGTATATTTAAAGATATTCTAATTTTATATTTACTAATATGCATTATTATAATTTAATCTGTTTTTTAAATAAAGGAATTAGCAAGAAAATTGCAGCAAGAAGAAGAAGAAAGTGCTATAAGTAACCACGATGGTCCTGTTAATGAGCAATTACTATTAGATCAAAAAATTGCAATGGAAGCACAGGATGCTGAACTAGCACGAATGCTTCAAGAAAAAGAACGTGCAAAAATAAGGAAAGCAAGACAAAAAGCTAGACAAAGAAAATTGGAACGACAACAACTTCAAGAATTAGAAGAGCAAAATCTCACAGAGAAACCTCAACGACCTGATAGATTAGAATTGAAGAATGTGCAAAGTAAAACTAGAATACAACAATCTTTAAATTATCCTCAATATCCTGATCCTGAAGAAATACAAACACTAGATGATTCAATTGAAAATATAAGAGAAGTGCAAAATGTGGCTGCAATTATTGATCCTACATATAATGGAAATATACATAGAAACACTTCAAGTAGTTCAAGCAGTACAGTAAGCCCTACATATGCATTGCCTACACCACCACAGGAGCTTATGAATGATGATGCTCCATGTTATATGCCTATCCAAGGACAACGAAGAAATCAAATACAATCTCCGTCCCAAACTCATGAAGAAAAACATAAACGTCGAGTGAAAGATGGTTGTAAACAACAATAGAGATAGTCTGTTTCTTTAATGAAATATTTTTTGATATTTTTTTTTGTTGCCATGAAGAAACGATATTTTATTTATCATAAGTTTCATAGAAATTTTTATCATATATGCAACTTAAAAATCAATACAAAATAGAATTAAATTTGTATCCTTCGTTTACGACGAAATATAGTTAACGAAAGCAATATAAAAATAAATGTGCCTTTTAAAATGATACGGTGTAAGAAATCAACGAATATCAATAATTCATCAATATTTATTAACAAATTGCACCGTCCTAAATTTTAAATCTGCCTTTTTCTATATATATTTATCGAACTGAAAATAATATATTAACAATTATTATATTAATGATATCAAAAAAATTATTATGCAAAAAGAAAGAAATAATAATAATAAAAAAATAATAGATAGACAATCAAAATTAAAATTAAAAAAAGAAGTTTCAGTTACTATATTTAATTGTATTAAATAAGTAATCATGTACAAATATTGACAATTTAGACTGAATATTAAATGGTTTAAAGATTTTAATTAAACTTAA